AGTTTGTTTTTTTTTTTCTTCCTCCCCAGATGTTCCTCTTTAAAGCTTTTGAAAATTGGCTGCTGTTCATCACAGGGCCTGGCAGCCTTTTAAACGAATGAAACGAGACGCAGGACGCTGCAGGCGAGGTGCTCTGAGGAGGTGGTCACCTCCCTTGGCATGGCAAGGCCACGCAGGCATCCGGTCGGCAGCAGGTTGAGGGCTGTGCAGCGTGGCATAGGATGCGGACGCTCTCCAGCACCGGTGGGGTTTGTGGTATCACTTTAGCCCTCGCTTCACCAAACTCTTCCTTTTCCCTTAAAGCTCAGCCGTCGATGGAAGAAGTGGTACCAAAGTGGCCATTAAGAAGCTGTACCGCCCGTTTCAGTCTGAACTCTTTGCCAAACGAGCCTACCGAGAGCTGCGCCTCCTCAAACACATGAAACATGAAAACGTGAGTTGGGTCACTGGGTCATGTTCCCCCCTGAGGCTGCAGCTTATGCACCCTAAAAACAAAGAAAATATGCAGATTTGGACAAGGCAGATGTGTAGCTGAATGGAGTTCAGGAATCTTTTGGCCTGTTTTTTGTCTGTCCTTTATCTACAAATGTCAGTTTGCATAAACTAGAATATCCTGTGGGAAACACCACTTCATTTCCATGTAGGAAAAGTTGGCTGGGGAAGGTTAGGACCGCAGTGGAATTTGCGCTAAGACCTAGTGAGAGAGATTAAGGACCAGAAATTTACCATCTCCGTCTTTTCCTGTGAGGTGCAGGAGAATGCAGAGCATGGATCTGTGCCTGCGTCTCGGGCACCAGCATCTCTTCTTTAATGAACTTGCGTGAAGATGGCTGTGGTACACGTGCATATCTTTAGGGAGGGAGTAGGGTTTTCCTTTTTTTTTTTTTATCTTTCATGAAGCATTTGAAAGTTTAGGGTTCATACTAATGTGAACTAGGAAAAGTTCACAATGACTAAATAAGTTTCTTTACCGGGAAGCAAAGAAGAGGATATGGAGCTCTGCCTAGATTTCCATGTAATGTGAAGGAAGAACAGAAGCAGAAAGACACGTTGAAAATGTCATTGAGATAAAGATATTTAGTCCCAGCAGTGCTTAGTGGTTTAAGAAAAAAATAAAGGAGGAGAGATTTGGGTGAAAATAGTTTTCATGGAATGAAAGTATGGACTCCAGGTGAGAAGGTTCCCAGCGTCGGCTTGGAGCATCACAGCAGTGGCTTTAAATGTTGCTCATGAAGAATTGATGTGGAATAAAAGAGCATTTGGAGGGAGTTGTGAAAATGATGCATAAGAATCTGGTATAAATGTTATTAATGTGACATATTAGAGCATATCTCCATTCAGATGGCTTTCAAGGAAAGCTGAAAGATGGAAAGCAGGGACGAGAGGAACTGGTAATAAAAACAGCCAGTCATTGCCATTTAACGTTACGGTATTAACATTGTAAGTACTGACAATATCCAGCCTCGTTCTGAAGAATAATCTGTGGAATATTCTGACTGTCCAGAAAAAAAACGGACTCTTTTGTAGGCTTAGGAACTGGTGTGTCTGTTAACATTTTAGTCTGAATCTTTTAATACATACAGTCGTTTTATTTGATGATTCCTTTGAATAACTGCTTCATAACCACTGCTGTATATGTTAAAGAGTTAACGTTTGCAGGGAACTTTTGTGTCATGCATGGGCTTTCATACTCTCAGCATTTTCTTTACTGAACATTTGGGAGCAGAGCAGCTCGTGCAGTTGCCAAGCTCCTAACTGTGTCCAGAATTTTGAGATTATTTTTCTTCCATTTCCCAGAATAATCTGGTGGGTAGCATTTTCCACTCCTGGTGGTTTTTGTGTAGTGTATGCCCTTCAGGATAGTACTCTGGAACCCCTCAATGGACTCGTTTGATAATTAAAGCGTCCAGAAGAAAATGCTCACTGGGGAACCTGAGCACAGTCTGCACAGAGTTGCAAATCAATATATATGAAGGAAGGGAATAATTTACAGTGTTAGGAAACAGTTTGGGCCACAGAAAGAAGCAGCTGGTCTATGTACTAAAGAAAAGTTTTACCATAAATTATGACATGGTATCTACTCATTAGAGAACAAAGACAAGAAACGATCCTGCAGGGACTCGTGGGCACCATGGAGTCAGAAACTGACTTCTCCACCCATCCACAGTGAGGCTAAGATGGCCTGTCAAGAGAATTCCCACCCACCATCCCAGCCTCACACCCTTCTGTCAGTCATTTTGCCGACAGTGAATTAGGAATAGCAGCAACGCCTTTTACGATTTCTACTCCCTGTGCTGATCTCAGGATACTCCTTTAGCTGCTACACCCATCCAAAATTAAACCAGAGTGGTAGTATGGCTCCTCATCAAGATTTTCAGCCCCTCCTTTGACCCACCCACCATTCTGTCAAAGAGCCTCTTTTTTTGCATTTGCACCAAAGGATGGGTTTACAGGTCCTTTCCTGTTCACATCAGCAGTTCCCAGTGTTAATGGGGAACTGTTAATGAGTTACTGTTAATGATATGGACAGCAGCAGCGGGGCAACTGCGTGTTCTGTTGTTACCATGGTGGCTTTCATGGGCCTGGCTATGGAGTTTTGAACGGGCCCCACTCACGTGGGGTGATAAGGGTGCTTATCTCCTTATAACAGGAATTAGTAGAATAGAACAGTGATTGAAGTATCTTTCATATTTTTCTTTTCACTAATACGTTATAGTATACTTCTATAAAATAGCAGTAATCTGTCTTTCTGGCTGTATTATAAATACAACTGCTATTAAAAATTAATAAAACTTGAGTAATTGTTTCAAAGACCACAGTAAAATAGCAATGCCACTGTTATCTCTGTCTTGGATGTTGGTAATCTAAGTATGTAGAGGACGTGGTGTGTGATAGCCGGTCTAACAGTATTGCCACTATGGATTAGATATGGGAGACTGTTGCAACATTGCACTAATCTACAAATTTTCACCTTGCTTTTCTTCCTGCTTCACAATATTAACTGTTTCGAGGTTTTGTTTATTCGATAGTTACAATTGCATCCAATTCACTCTTCTGATCTGTTTTTCTTTTAAAATGACTTGTGCAATCGCGATGCATTTGATCTGGATTACGTGAAAAGTGTGATGTTTTGTTTGTTTCACCGTGATTACCTCTCGATGGACTGTCTCTGCTCTTCATAGCTTTCAGGGAAGTGTTGTGTTAAGCATGTAGCAATACATTATCATAGTTTATTTAACCTTATGCTGTATTCAGAATGATGGCAGAAATTGTCAAGGTCTCACACATTGTGTTAAAAATAGCATCTCTGGTCTTCCATTAAGATAGCAGAAGATACCATTAAACCCGTGCCCCAGTGTTATAATTCATCAGCATGTCATGCTTCAGTGAAGAAAATGGAGGAGAACTTCTGCTTAATACCCTGGATGACCTCCATTATAGACCCTTGGAGGAATATGTTCATCTCCTTAATGTGGAAGAGTTGTAGGATGACTAGGAGTCCTGTAAAAACAAACATAGGAGTCATCCAATTGAATTTTACTGGTATTGTATTTTACCTTGTAAGGAAGCTAACTCATGGGTCAGTTTGCTTGTCTGTTTAGGTGTCTTCAGGAGGAGGCAACTCGGGTTGTGGGAGTGACCATCTTTCATCATATATGCTTGAACTTTGTGCTACTTAGTGGCTCTACAAGCGGAACATTACTTAAATGTAGTATATTTCTATATAAACTGTGCAAACTTGGTAGCATGGGGCTTCTCATTAACCCTTTGCAAACAAATCTAGAGGAGAAACGGTGTTGAGGATCAGACCTGGCTGTTAGGAGACAAATCACTGTCTTTAATAGCACTGCTATCCTTTTTTTTTTTGATAGGCCGTTTAGTTTGAGAAGATCTGGGATGTTTCACAAACATCATAAGCTACTTCTGCCTAAGAAGCAGTCTAACCCAGATCAATTCCTCACACATTGCCAAAAAGAAGAGTTAGTTTCCAGTGGGATAAGCTGCCGGATCACTGTGTAGCTGCATAAACAGGTATTCTGGTGCAAGAGAGAGAATGGCGTGAAAATGAGGAATAAAACCAGCTAAGGCAGAATGAAGACAGCACTGCACTGTTTTGGGGCGTTGGTTTTGTTTTTTTTTTTTCATTTATTCATGCTAACTTAAAGTATTCATCCCATTACAGCCTTAGCAGCTCTTGATTCTTTGGCATCTGCTGCATCTTGTACAGAAGAACAGATTGTTTACCTTTAGGAAGTTTTTTTTTTCAGTAGTGCTGCTTTCATTCCCTGTTTCTTTGCATTTTCAGTTCAGTTAAAATGAGGACCCTTAGAACTGTCTATTGTGGCTCTGACTTAAAACCAAAATCATTGAAGATACAGCCAGCTGCTAACTTTGGCCCTGGCTTTGACTCTCAAACATTCGCAGAGCTCTCCATTCATGTATTCTTCTGAAGTTAATGGAGATGTCTGTGTGCAAAATTAAACACAGACAGTTAAGCAGAGGTGCAGAACCATTAGTTTCCTTTGGCAAATAACTTGGATTTTATTCTGCATTTGCAGTGGAAGTGATACCATGGTACCCTCTTTTGTGGTCCAGTCCTGGTGCACTTTCTCACCTCCCAGTTTGCTGACAGAAGTTTGGAAGTTGCCAGCAGGAGTGCAAACTAGGTGGCCCTGGAGAGAGGGAGAGAAAAGCAGCAGCTTGGGCTGATGTCTTGTGTCAGAGCAGAGCGCGGGTTTTATCCAGGTGTGGTATATGCATGTGTGCGTACGTATGTGTGTACCTATGTATACATATAAGCACCCATGGGAATTCTGACGCAATTCTACCAGCTTAAATTCTGAACGTGTTTCTGGCATAAAATTTTTGACAAATGCCTGTTTAACGTTTCTTGGGTCAGTTAATATTCTACAGATGTTTTCTCCTCCTGGAAACCCTGTATGTAAGAGGCAACTGCAGTATTTGTTTAAAGGTACTCTATATTATGCTCTCATTCATTGCTCTGAGTGGAAATTATTCTCTGGTGTATTCCCACATCTGAAGACCAGTGTGTGTTTTGCATTATGAGAACCATGTAGCTTTTTTTTCCCCTTTGGAAGGAGCTCGGGTATCCAACAGACACCAAATTGTCTGCCTCTCTACAGCTACATTTCTGAGGATGACGCAGGCCGTCACTTTTAGGTTGACTAATGTTTAATTCTGTTGACTTCTTTAATTTGAAAAAATGTTGGGCTTTATATTTTTACCTAAACAGTATCAACCAAGGGAGGAGTTTGCTGCAGAGAAAATAGTGGGGCATTCTATGTTCCTGCCCAAGAAAACCTTAAAACTATCACCTTCTGCAGTTCATCTAGCCTGACGTTGGAAGAGCAACAGCCTCTGCAGTGTACAAAATCAGACCAAGAAGGGAGTTGTAGATGAGTGATGCCTTTA